ATTAACAAACCTTCAGTCCCTGAAATAGTATTCCATATAGATTGAATTGTGGATGATACTTTGACCTATTAGGGAAGATCAAAGTAGAAAGGTTTATAAGTTTACACACATTAAAATAGTTAACGGTTGGACACTGGTGGCCCACGCCTGTCATCCTAGCTGCTCAGGAGGTTGAGATCTGAGGATCACAGTTCAAAGCCATCCCAGGCAGGAAAATCTGTGAGATTTCAATTAACCACCAGAAAACTGGAAATGGAGCTGTGGCTCAAAAGTGTTAGAGCCCTAGCCTTGAGTGAAAAAGCTCAGAGACAGAGCCCAGGCCTTTCAACTCCAAAAATAAAGTAAAATAAGTTAACAAATCAAACCTTGTCTTAACTCACAGAAACTGAAAAATGTTACAAAAGTCACAGATCCCAGAGTATGGAAAATAGTACTAGATGTGTGTTGCTGTTCTTACAGCATTCCTTACTGAAAGGCAAGGAGCATTCTTTCAGTAAAGGGAGCATGTGAATTAACTCCTAAACTACTGTCAGATTTAATGACAGCATTTGGAAAACTTCCAGTGAGACAAAAAAAAAATCCCCTAGTCTGTGTTCCACTAGGAAAGGAGTGCCTCTCCTTTCCCAGGGTGAGTTGAAAGATTCAGGCACAATCATACACTGTCATCGGCTATCGGCTATCTTCCTGATAATGAAAGCAAGACCTTTTCATCATCATTTGAAAAGTATCATTTGAAAAGCCACTGGTAAAGCCTTTTACAAGTGTTCATTATTCTGTCTAGATTCTAAATTTCTTCTCTTTCAAAACCACAGACATTAGTTGGTATTCCTTGTTTGTTCCCTTTATCCACTTATGGAGAGGGAAGCATCAAAGCAGTTTTAGTGGTATTTTGACCCCATTAACAGCCTGCCCTTCCTGGCTTTTAATACAGAGTCACCATTAGCTGTCCTCTGCTAAAAAAAGAATCGATTGAGCTGGGCCTTTAGCTGGTCACTGAAACCTGAGGTATGTGCCTGTCATGAACACATAAACATGGCCAATCAAATACTTAGAAAGGTTTCATTTCATCCCCAATGTTTTTCTGACTTATAAGTAAAAATATGGAAATCTTCTGTTTTAGAAATGAAATAGCCTTCTATAATTATTCCATTACTATCAAGAAAATAGTATCATGGGGAACATTTTTTTCCTTAGAAAATGGATTGTATACTGACCTTTAAAGCAGTTTAAGAGGTCTCCTTGAATGTGCCCCCAAGATGGTTAATGATTAAGATTAGATAATTATAAAAGGACAAGCTAAAAAATGACAAGGTCTAGATTTTCCAAGTATTTCTGAGGGATTTAATGATGTGGAAATACATTTTTATTATAGGTCTTTACTGTCTCAGGAGTTATCTGATAAAGCTTATGTTCAATAACTGGTTCTAACATGTGTGGAAGTTTTACATTTAGCTTTGGGCTAAATCTTTGCTTCTGAGAACTATACTCCACATTTCTATTGTTTATAATATGAACTATTAGTCTTTGTAGACAAAATAACAAAATGGCTGTAGATATAACATATAGGAAAATATAGGATTTGTCTCTCTATATTTATTATTAATTACTTAGACCAAACCATCAAAAAGGTCCACATTATAACAATAGCCTTACAAATAACAAATAACTTTTCAATAATGATAAAAAGGTCACAAATCCGTGGCTCTCACCTATAGTCCTAGGTACTTAGGAGGCTGAGTTCTGAGAATTGTGACCTGAAGACAGCCTAGGCAAACAAATCTGAGAAACTGTTATCTCTAATTAGCCAACAACAACAAAAAAGAAGTAGAGCTCAAGTGGTAGAGTGCCAGACATGACTAAAAATGCCAAACAAGAGCATGAACTTTTGAATTCAATCCCAGTACTGTGGCTTGAACAACAACAAAAAGATTCTTAAAATTGCCTTTTAAAGAGTTATTACATTGCTATGTAGTAGTTTTTTGTCTATTAGTGAAGACACTATTTGTCTTTCAAGTAAAAAAAGAATATAGATACAAAAACAAAAGTCCTCCTTGTAAGAAACACATTGTAAAAGCAACCATCTTTAACCTAGTATAAAAACTGCTCCTCAATAATGAAGTTTGCAGTCTTAGAAACTGGATTTCTAAATACTTGTTTAAATGTTTTTAAAGTGGAGCTAATCAGCTCATGAATTTCCCATGTATCAGCAAAGTCTTAGATTTTGCTTTACCTCTACCCTAAGCCAGGGAGGTTCCAAATGAGTAGAAATTAGGAGCTGCAAGAGTGCTAATGGACACTTTTTGAGGTTTTTTTTTTTTAAAGGATAGGGAAGAACAAGTAAAAGAATAATAAGGGAAATGGAAACAGATTTTTTAAAAAGGTGTATCTGAAAGGGTAAAACAGCAGACTTACAGGAACTCCTCAGAGCCACATGCTATAATAGCTGCTATTTCTTACCCCCAAAATATCAAAAGTTATCTGAATATAGGACTGTTTACAATACATCAGCATAAGTTAAAAATTCTTAAATGTAGCTAAAAGGACTAGAGTTATAAGTAAATATATATATTCATTTTCTACAACTGTTTACATTTATTTAAAAATGTAAGGGGTTGAAAATAATAGCATTAAAGGTTTCTTCATACTTGGGCAGAGCTTCTGGGATATTCTGCCAACGAGCATAGCTGATAATGTATGGATCATGAAATATAAATGAAGCCGTTTCTATGAATAGAACTTGAATCTAATCATTATTCAATTTTCAGTGGAAATTGCAAGTCTGGTAGCTTACTTTATAAGCCCTACTTAACTGTGATCAAAAAGATTTACAACTTTTGAAAAAAGTAAAATAATTTGAGTGGATATGTTTACTTGAGTACCAACATGTAACAAATAAATGAGCACATTAATTTTGGACATAAACAGAAAATATACCCTACCTCTAAATGGGTGAGTCCTAACAAAATGTGCTGCCATGAGATTTACCTAAACTATTTCTGGAAGGTTCTTTAGACATCTGATAAAATAGTATGTGACTGAGTATTTCTATAAAGAAGAAAGATTGATCCCTTTCTTACTTTATTGTTGGCCTTGAATGCTGAAACTTTTGAGGAGTCTTGTAAGATTTGGATAATGAGATATAAAGAGTCTGACACTGGATTCTTTTCATCTCAGAAAAGTATCTGGGTTAAGCAAAGACTTTCCTTTGTCAGTCAGTCACTTTATTGTACCAGGAATTAGAGAAGATTTACTCTGACTAAAGTCCTTTGACTAATTAGTATGTTTAAACATAATATTTACACATTTTGGTATTTTTCATATTTTTGTTTACATATGTATACTAGAATTTTTAACTTTTCTCAATCATATTTCTAGATATTTATTTCATGGAATTTAGCATCTTACCTTCATTCCCTTTCTTTCTAACTTATAATTACAGCTAAGTACACCCCAGTAGAGTCTATTATAGTGGAGATTTTTCACTGTTTATAGATCCAGATTGAGTCATTCCATTAATCTGAAAATTACATGAAATGATATAGAAACACTAGATGCTAAGATCTAATATTATAAACACTTAATGTCATTGCTCTTTTAATGTGAAAATTAAAACCAAGTTTGGGGATTTTAAATTTTTAAATATTCCCCATTTTTCTTCCTCTCTTAAAAATTAGCCAAATATTTTGAGGTCCTCACAGAATAAATTTCCATTTTTAAAGTTACACTTCCTGTAAAGTTGGGTGGATGGAATGGCTTTATCAATATCTGGGCTGAGGATGTACTCTGTTGTCAGAAGACTTGCTGGACAGGTGCCCTAAAAACTTCACATTTTATAATGGCAGACTTGAGGATTGGTTTTAGTTGTATGCTCTTCAAAAGCACTAATAGTGATTGAAAAGTAGTAAGTATGGATAAATGAAGGTCTAGTTAATGTACTATATTAACATGTTTAAGTCTTTTTTATAATTTAAAATAAGAACATGAAAGGACAGCCACCCAAGATATGAAACAATTAAAAGCAGTGAGTTACAACAGTATGTAAGGCATAATAAGTTGCTGAATATCTTGAGAATTACAACTATTGTCAGACATAGTGTCAGATGCCTGTAATTCCAGCTACTCTGTGGCTGAGGCAAGAGGTTCATGAGTTCATGACTAACTTTAGCAATACAGATTCCATTTCCAAAAAAAGAAATCAAAGCAAAACCAAAAACACACCAATCAAAATTATTTAAAATTTGGTTAAAAACATATTGTATATTTAGCATTTATATTATAAACCTTCAAAAGTCAGATCAGAGAGCTGTTCTGAAAGGAAAAAGTCACTGGATTTTCCAGCTCTCAGTTGACACCCTCACCTCCATGAAGCCCTTCCAAACCCACAACAGCAAATACATATGGTCCAGATAGCCCCATCCTTAGCTAGCTGGAAAATTGTAGCAGTGCCTTTTAATGATGATAAAAGACACAATACAAGACAGTAAAAGTAGGAAATGGGGAGAGAAATCAGGGAACAGAAGACACCATATGAAAGGAAATGTACTCATTACCTGACTCATGTAATTGCAATCCCTCCATAAAACCTCTATAATAACACTAAAGTATATTAATAAAACAAAAAAGAAGGAAATGATAGAACTCAGTTTCTTCTCGAACTGATCATTTAGAAATTGATGGATTCTGGAAGTGCTTTAGGAAACTACATTAAAGTAAGATTTAGTACATATCTATACTTAGGATTTAAATATATTTTGCATATTATTCTAAGTATCTAAAGAATAATTTTAAGGGGCTGGGAAGGTGGCTCAGTGGTAGAGTGCTTGCCTTGCATGCATGAGGCTCTGGGTTCAATTCCTCAGCACCATATAAGCAGAAAAGGTCAGAAGTGGCGCTGTGGCTCAAGTGGTAGAGCACTAGCCTTGAGTTGAAGAGCTAAGGGACAGCACCCAGGCCCAGAGTTCAGGCTCCATGACCGACAAAAAAAAAGAAAAAGAAAAGAAAAGAAGAGAAGAAAGCAGAAGAAAGAAGAAGAAGAAGAAAAAGAAGAATTTTAAAGATACAGGAAAGAGTTCCTCCTTTTATAAAAGAGTAATAGATCATGGAAACACTTTGGTTTTAAATTCAGGTCCTCAGAAGTAATCACCTTCTTACCACAATCTGTATACAAAATATAACAGGAATGTCAACAAAGAACACAAGGAGGAGTACAGTCATGCACCACACATGGACATTTCAGTCAACAAAGGGATGTTTATACCCTGCTGGTCGCATATGGTTACAGCATATAGTGATGTTGTAGGCATGGTAGTGTAACTAAGCTATGATGTTCACACAACAAAATAACCTGCTGAAATGATTCATGAGTACACCTTTGAATGCAATTTTTTTTGCTAGAAAAATTTGGAAATATAAAAATTGTTTCTTTTTATAAATTTTTTAACCTTTTAAGGCCCATTAACTTCATAAATCACTTTAACAATTGTTTCTAGCAGAAAGATATTTTCTTCATAAATAGAAAGGGTTTTGCCTCACCCTTTGTGTGTACGACACGATTTGTGTGTATGACAGCAACTTATAACATGCTCAATAAGACTATTTAAATACCACTGCTAATAAACCTAGAAATCAGAGCATTTCTAAGTTAAAATTTCCAGGATATAGTCCATTCATTCTATTTTACTTTATTGTTTACACAAATCAATAAACGAGGGATGCTTCTGACTACTTGAGGTGAGCACACTGCAAATCCAAAGGGAACAAACATAAATGAAGACACGCCTGGTTTCTGAATTGCTCTGCCTTGTGACGAGGGTCCTTTCCATCTCACACATAGAGTCTGAGTACATGGTTAGCATCTGCTCCCAGAAAGTCCCTGGACACTGGAGCAAGTCAGAACCTCCTCATTTCAAGCTTAAATTACTTAACAGCAGATTTGAAGCTTAGATAGATCTGTTATCTGGAATCCAGATAAATTTTGCAAAGAGTTTCCAAAATTCAGAAGTAGTTAAAACACTAGAACTAAAGGTACCAAAAACAACAACAAAAATCCAAACCAAATTGAAACCCCTTCAATATAGCTCGAGGTATTTAAAAAAATACAAGCTAAATAGCTTTCACAGTTTCCAAAGTTGCTTTTTACTGAGATAGCTTCAAATGTTGACAATATTTGACTTTCAGACATGTGTTCCTGTAACAGTCTCCTCCCTCAGACTCCTAGAAATGTCAGACAGATATTTGGTGGCAGAAATGGTTCTTGTAAAATGCAGGTTCCATTTTACAATTATTGTGCTATTCCAAGGATGTAATTAAAAATATGTAATTTGCAATTCATATAAAAGGAAAACTTGCTTAAAATTCAAAAGCAAGTCCAGTGTGGTGGAGGTATATAATACTTTTAAATAATAGAGTCAGATTCTTTCTTGAAGATTCCAGGTGAGCTTGATAGGAGAGAGTTCTGGTTCTCTAACATCTTCTCCATCTTTTCTCCTGTAGTGGTTTTATTGATTTCTCTCTGCTTCTTACTATGGATCCATGGGATAAGACAAAGTATAGCCCCTCCGATAAGAGGAGGAACTCCAGCAAGGTAGAATGCCACATCATAGGAGCCCAGCTTGTCACGAAGTAACCCTAAGAAAGGAAAATGTTGTCACCAAGAGAGAACAAGTTTGGCTCTTATATCAGTCACATTGATGGCCCAGGCCCAGCTCATAACTTCACCTCAGCAGAACTGGTTCAAACAGCTCAGATTTCAAATGTGTTTTTTAAAGAAACAGATCTGAAACACAAACCTTTTCTGATATAAAGAAGAAATTTTAAAATCCTATCTTTAATCATGTCATTAAGTATAAGCCTCTGGATTTTTATACCATTATGACTTGGAGAAATATTTGGATCTAAGCATAGGCTTTCTTGAAACCCCTCAAAGGTCAGCTCATGACCTCTGCTTGCTTGATTCATGAAGGGAGAGTAGTTCCAGACTGAAAAATAAATTTAAATGAATTTTCACAAAGGCCCTTGTGTCTGACACAGTAACAGTATGAAATTTAAGTTTTGTCCTAATTATGTTGAATATTCATAACTCACACTGGTACCTCAAAAACACAGAACATGAGACATCTTTACATTATCACTCAGAAGATATTTGTTTGTTTTTTGGTAATAATGAGGCTGGGCTCTGACCCTAGGCTCTTTTACTCAAGGCTAGTGCTCTACCACTTTGAGTCACAGCTCCACTTGTGATTTTGGGGTAGTTAACTGGAGATAAGAGTCTTACAGACTTTCCTGCCTAGGCTGGCTTTGAACCACAGGCATGAACCAGAAGTACCCAACTTGACTCAGATGATTTCTAAAGGTGAAAAGTGAAATTCATGTTTAGAAAAACAACTAGGGCATTTAGTAAATTTACAAGGCTATAAATCATTACATCTACCTAGTTCCAAAATAATTTTACTATCTTAAAAAGAAACTCTGTTAATAGTTCCTCACCATTTCTCCTTCTCCCTAGCCCCTGGCAATCACCAATCTTTTCTGCCTCAGTGAATGTACCAAACCAAGGTACTTTATATAAACAGAAACACAATATGGGACCTTTTATATTTGTCCACTTAGCATAATGGTCTTGAGGTTTAAGCACCTTGTAGCATGTTCCACTGCAGTATTTCATTCCTGTCTATGACTGACTAATATTCCACTGTATAGATAGCACACTTTGTGTTCCATTCATCCACCAATAAGCAGTTGTTTCTACTCTGTCTTATTAAACACAGAAGGAAAAGACGGATGAACACACACACACACACACACACACACACACACACACAAATCAAAGAGCCAGTAGTGATGTTTTACATATAAATTAGGCCTAGGACATGAAGTAGAAAATGCTCTGAGTTAGAACAATTACTGAAGAGTCATAGTTACCTGCAATGGGTGGGCCCACGGTCATAGGTATAGACATGAATCCCAGCAGAAATCCAATAGCTTGGGAGACATCCTGAGCACCAACTAATTCAAAGGCAATGGGGGCCATGATAGAAATGAAGCATCCATCGAAAAGCCCCATGATGAGACAGACAGCAATGAGGGCCCCGAAGACACTGCACAGGGGAATCATCATGGACATCAGACCAATGAAGAAAAAGGAGAGGACCTAGGACAGACAAGCACATGTCAACTCTGCTCTTGGCAAGCAAATACTACAAATATGTCTGAGCACCTCAGACAAATATGTCTGAGAGTCAGAATATTTATTTCAAGCCACTGAACCCTTCTATCCTGGTGTTAGAGTAGTTAATATAATAAACACCAGATTTTTGTCTGCCTTTGGTAAGCTCTCTGGTATGTGTTACATATTTCAACAATGAATGAGGCCTGGTTCCTCTCCTTGGATTATCTAGAAATGGACATTTAAATAAGTATAAGTGAAATGTTCTAGATGTTTATTGAAAGTATGGTGGGCATAAAAAAGAAAATAGACAATTCAATAACATTTTAGGGACACAATTAATTAAAATTATAATTTACTAATAAGGAGAAATTTACTTACTTATTTATTTATTTTGGCAGTCACGAGGCTTGAACTCTGGGCCTGGGCACTGTCCCTCAGCTCTTCAGCTCAAGGCTAGCGCTCTACCACTTGAGCCACAGCACCACTTCTGGTTTTCTGAGTGGCTTATTGGAGATAAGAGTCTCACAGACTTTTCCTGACCAGGCTGGCTTTGAACGGTGATCCTCAGATCTCAGCCTCCTAAGTAGCTAGGATTAAGGCGTGAGCCACCAGCGCCAGGCAGAAAAATGTTTTTAAGAGCATCAGATTTTAAGAAAATACGTATATAATAGCAACTCTCGTTTAGTATTTATTAAGTGCATTATCCTAGTTACTTTAGATGGATTATATCAGTGGTGATCCTTACAACTTTATGAAGTGAGTATTAAAGTTATTCCCATCTTAAAGATGAAGTGACACTAGAAAGTTAAGTAATGCACTCAAAGCATATAAGATGGTACTATATCCTGAGTGGAACCTATGGTTCACATGAGCAGCAGCAGAGAGCAGGCAGAACTGCTCCTGGACAGTGACAGTGGGTCTGGGGAGAAGATACATCAAACAGAGCTCCATCTGGATTGTTGCTTTATCTCCTCTGTTCTTCCTAGGATCCATGGGCACATCTGTGAAATACCACGCTAGCTTGGTATTGGTAGTAAGCATTGAGATGGACACCCTACACACACCCCTGAGGACTCTTGAAGATTCAGAGTGGGAGTCTGGGGTAGCTTTCACACACAGTGGACCACAGACACCAAAATGAGAAACATGCTCTTGAAAGATATATCCCATTCCTCAGGCTGGGAAGGTGGCTCAGTGGTAGAGCACTTGCATTGCATGCCTGAGGCCCTGGGTTCGATTCCTCAGCATCACATAAACAAAAAGAAAAAAGCCGGAAGTGGCGCTGTGGCTCAAGTGGTAGAGCACTAGCCTTGAGCTGAAGAGCTGAGGGACAGCGCCCAGGCCAA